TCTTGAACTAACTCCCAACTTCCAACTTTTGGGAGCTTTTGTTACAGATAGCTGTCACAGCTTTTATAAAAACCGGCCCTTTGAGTCCTGGGCCCAATATTAGTTCGGTTAATGTCCGTGTTGTTACGTAGAATTTCAGTTTAATTGTGTACGAACTCCCGTTTTTGTTACTGACTTGAATTTAATGTCTTCAAAGTGGCTTGCGCCAAAAGCGGAAAATAATGGAGATAGTACAAGGTAGCACTAAACTGGCTCAGTCTGAAGCCCCCGTCTGGTTCTTACCATTCAAAAAATGCGAATGGTTTGAGGTCAGTCAGTCAAAGAAGGAGAGGGACGCTTGTGTTAGTGGAATCTTGTCCTTGTTCTGCCTAAAAGACGTGTCAACATAAGTGTTCTCATGTATAATTGAAGTGTCGCATGCCTATTGGTTCAGAGTATGATTTATTTTGTTTGTAAATGTGGGTGAATAATATGAGGCTGTTAGTTTTCTACATATAAAAGGTGTGTGTGTGGGGAGAGGATGTGGATATGTTAGCATGTGTGCCTGTGCGTTACTGTGTGCTTATGTGTGTATGTATGTGTGTGTATGTGTTTTTGTGTGTGTGTGTGAGTATGAGTATATGTATGTGATTGTGTGTATGTGTTTGTATGTATGTGTGTGTGTGAGTGAGTGAGTAAGAGAGAGAGAGAGAGAGAGAGAGAGAGAGAGAGAGATAGATAGAGAGAGAGAGAGAGAGAGGGAGAGAGGGGGGGGTTGGTTGGGGTCAGGGAGAAAGTGAGAAAGATATTTTTTAAAAAGATTGGGGTGGTTCTGGCAACATGGGTGGAATCCTACCTTTTGCGGCTAAGTGCGCGTGTTTGTTGGAGGGAAAGGGGGTGGGAGGTATATTCTTTTTTCTTCCCCTTTTTGAAGAATGATTATTTGGAGGAGGGGGGGTTAGAAGGGGGGGGGGTATATTTCACATTATTCTCACTTTGAAGGGTGGACGAAAAAAAAGGAAGGGGAGGGGGTGGCGGTAAACAATACCTATCCCCCCAAAAAAGAATACATAATATGATGTGTGTGTTTCCTACACACAATGCTTAATTATGAGCGAGGTAATCCCCAGACCAGTGTTGGGGTCCCACAAAGGCAGTCTTGTGCCTGATGGAAGACTCAGGAAGCCTATCATTAGGACGTGGCGACACTGCAAGGCTCAGATGAGTGGCAGAATGGCAAATGATGTGTGGACAGATAGGAGACTGAGACATGGAGATTATAGAGCGTGTACGTGTGTGTACGATTCATGTCAGAGAGAGAGAGAGAGAGAGAGAGAGAGAGAGAGAGAGAGAG